TATTCCATGCGACCAAAATGCAAAGTGTGTAAAAGAAGAAGCTGAGCAAAAGCTAAAATTGAGAACAGACGGCTTTGGGGGCTCAGCAGCGGGCATGTAACTGTTCATACATGAATGGAGGCGGTCCCAAGAAAGAAGGAGAAAGAAGGTTGACGCGGGCAGAAGGGAACACTGGTGCCTCTTCCGTCATACCCCAAAGAGACACGCTGCCGCTCACTTGGAGGCTCTCGACTTCGACCGCGCTTCGCTTCGCTTTTCCTGTGACTTCATCCGGAAACGCCATAATCTCGTTGCGACGAAAGTGGACGACGGGTAGGTAGCCCAATGCCCTGCCTCACTATGCCGCCAACCTGCAGGGTTGGATGCGGTTCCTGCAGTCACGTCCACAGCGGCCCGGTCTGCTCGCGAGCCGCTGCTGGAGATCTCGTTGAAATGACGAAGGCCAGACAATTCGGGGCCTATCCGATTCCGTTTCGGGCGGGTGACACCCCACCTGGTTGGTTGGGCGAGTCGCTCTATTTTCGTTCTGGGGGGAGGTTTGCAAGTTGCATCTAAGATCCAGAGTTGTGTGGCGGTCCAGGCCAGAATGTAACCCCTGCTGCATACCATCATACCAGACCGAGAAGGTCGAGTACCCAATGAAGATGCACTTGTTGAACAGATGCATGTACATTGAGTGGCTGAGGTGCTCCCACATCGCCCCCGAATTTAAGCGCCCAGTCTCCTCCTAAGCGCGGAGGCCGAACAAGAAACCAAAAGACGTTGAAGCGAACCGCCCCGAAAACGGGCGCCAAAACGGCCGATTACATCACGTGATGCAGGTCATAGCCATCGCAGACCAATGAATGATCACACTTAGCCAGACTCAGTAGCCAAGTGTCAGACGTAGTCGCTGGCCAGTTGTTTCTCGATACCCTTCCCATGGTGTGACTGCCTCCTTCGTTTCGAAAATCACAACTTTGAGATTGATGGATGTGATTGACTCTGCAGTCCTCAGACAACAAGAGTTCTTCATGCGACGTGAGCGAGTCCTGCTGCTCATGACTGGGTACCACGACTGAGCTTGACACGCTCCTCCAACGTAAACATCCGCCATGAGGCATTGATGCGACATACCGACTTGAAGTCACATATAGACCCCAAGCCTTCTCGGGGTCGCTGCACTTGTCTAACTCAGCTCTTACATTTCTGAGTAGAACGCAGCATCGCGGCGGCCGAATAGTGATGCGAACTGCTGCAAGCTAGCCACCCCCAACGCAACCTCGCATCCTACCGACCATCCCGAAGGTCTAATGTATGGTCCCGTTACAACCGCTGATATCAGACCACTGCATGATTGCAGTGAATATCGTTTCCAGAAGAACCGCATACTCTATTGGTGTTTGTTAGCTGATTTCTAGCGAAGCCACCAGGTACGCAGGGTCGAAGGGTGCAAGTCGGCTGATCAGAATGATCAGCCTAAAGATCATTACTAGTGTTCAGGAATCTCCATTGTCTCCGTTCATGGTATCTCATTTTTCGTAGCCTCTGCTGAGAGGCTTATGACCTCATCTGAGGCCTTCCACATTTACACCCTGTCCCAGATTGACAACCATTTTAAAACGGGCCCTCCATAGTCTGAAGTGCCAGATTTATCCGCCGCGGCCCTCCGTTCATATCACGCACTACCTTTCCCTCAACGACCCATTGAGCGATCAATCAGTACTAAGACTTGACGCTGGCATCGGTCGCGCTGGGTGCGAATGCAGCCTTGGCGCGGTTAGACTTGATGACCTTCTGCACGTCTTCCTCGGTCTGGTCCCAGTCGTTGGCATCGAGCTGGACGAGATCAATCTCGTACAAATCTGCGATATTCTTGAGGGCATAGAAACTCTTCTTGTCGTAGACGAAGCTGATGCTCACACCGATACGGCCGAAACGTCCTGTGCGGCCAATGCGGTGCAGGTAGGTCTCAGGGTCAGGCTCCGAATCTCCACGTCCCTTCATGGGGATATCGTAGTTGATGACCATGGAAACACTAGACACATCGATACCGCGGGCCAACACGTTGGTGGTGAGAAGAACCTTGGACTGGCCGGTTCTGAACTCCTCCAAGAGACGATCGCGCTCTGGGCCGTCCTTGGCACCATGGAGGGCGGAAACACGATGGCCGTCTGCCTCCATTCTGCGCTTAATCTCGTCCGCACTTTCACGAGTCTGCATTGTGCGGTTAGTCAGGCTCAAGCTTCCAAGATTACGTCGGTCTTACCTTGACGAAGATGACGGAGGAGCCAATAGTCATGAGACCGTACAGCTTCACCAGCACCTCGTACTTGTCCTGCTCGGTAGGACAATCGATGTACATCTGAGAAATGCCCTTGACGGTGAGCTCGGTGTGCTTCAAACGGATTTGATCAGCCTTGGGCGCAAACTTCTCAGCGAAGCCCATGACCTTGTCAGGGAAAGTGGCGGAGAACAGAAGGATCTGGATGTCGCGGGGCAGCATGCTGTTATCATTAGCCCAGTTCTCAATAGACATATTCAGAGGTCAACCTACTTCTTAACACGGAGGCACTGCTCGCCCAGACCTTGCTGGTCCAACATGTTGTCGGCCTCGTCAATAACGAGGAGCCGAAGCTTGGAGACATCCAGCTGACGTCTACGGATGATGTCCATGACGGTACCAGGTGTTCCAACAATGACATTGGCTCTGACAGGGGCATTGCGCTCCAAAGCACCAGGAAGAGCTGCAGCAACGTTGAGACCCTCGCAGAACTTGCCGATGTTGCGCACAACGCCCTCAATCTGACGAGCAAGTTCGCGACTGGGAGCCAGCATCAGTGCCTGAGGTTGCTCGAGCTGTGAGAAGTCGACTCGCGACAGGGTAGTAACGACAAAGGCAGCCGTCTTGCCAGTTCCAGATTGCGACTGGGCAATCATGTTCCGAGGGGGATCGGTCAGCATCAAGGGAAGGGCCTTCTCCTGAATCTTGGAGGGCTTTTGGTAGTTGAGGGAAAGAAGACCACGAAGAATCTCATCGCGACTGTACAATCGCGTATTAGAAACCTGCAAGTATTCGACTCGACTGTGCACTCACAGGTTCATTTCGGAAAAGTTTGAGACCGAATAGAGAGTACTGTTCTGGTCGGACTGGAGGTCGCCCAGCTTGACATCGACATCGTAGGTATTCTCGATAAGGCCAGAGTCTGCAGCTCCGTCGGCCTGAGGGACTTCAGCTTCCTTGGCTTCCTGGACTGCCTGAGTAGCTTCCGGGGCCGCGCCCTCGGCCGGTGGCTCTGTGATGCGACTAGCAAGGTCGGCCATCGTGACTGAGGATAGGCGCGGTCAAGTGTGAGTTCTAAAGGAGAGGCATTAAAAATCGACTATATAGCCAGCTGCAATAGTCGAAAGTCTTACTTGGCGGTTTGTCGAGGGTTGGTGGCAGTCAAAGGGAAGTAGCGGTATGATCAGCCGTCACCTGTGCGGCTTCAACAGCAGGTTAGCGAATGGCAACTTCACGAATCTGGAGAGGAAACTCAATTGGGGAGAGAGAAGGCCGGAAGCAGAACGATGAATTGACTTACATGCGATTGGGCTGGTCTTTCTTTGCGTGGTTGCGTAAACCGGGCAGTTCAGTCGGGGAATTTAGTTTGTTTTGCGATGACGGATTTGGAGCTCCCAAACCAAAATTAACCCTAGGAAGCTACGTCGTCTGTCACTCCTGCCTGTGACTGAGCACTCCAAACCGATGGCGGGGCTACGCGGGGCATTTTTGTCGCCTAACAACCAAGGCCTGAGTCAGGAACGGAAAGCTCACCTTCCTACCGACATTTAACCGGCAAGGGTGGCTCAAGAGTGCGCCTACCTTAGCTGAAGTTGGAGGTAGGTGGCTGAGGTAAGCCAGAAGGAAGGAACCCAGAAGTCATGGCTTCTTTTACCTTAGGTAAGGTACCTGATCATTGATGTATTACCTTCCATAGTTTTTGGGCGTAGCACGTGACATGACTTCCAATCTGCTACGGCCAAACACATAATTGAGCCCAAGAGCTTCAGGTCATTGGGGTTGCCCTGTTCACGGGCCATTCTTTTCATTGGAGTACGACGTCATTCATGCAATCAGCAGTGTGTGAAGTTGATTGAGCCTTGAGGTGAGTGCCAGCACACGGCATGGAATTATTCAATCTCCGGCGCATCCATCGAGCATAGCAAACCCAGTAGACTTTCGTGCAGCTTGGGGAACCCGAATCCGAAACCCCTGTACTCAGGCACCAATGGCACCAATGAGTGGATTTCGCAGCAGGCGACCGGTCCGCTACCCCACCACAGGCCTCTTCAGCGTGCAAGAACACCCAGAGCATTTGCGCCCCCTCCAAACCTCCAGCCTCCAGGTACCTTACCTAGTGGACCGAGCAGCCGGAGAAACACACCAGTGCAGCAAAGGAAGGTTCCAGTTGGCCAAGGGGAAGAGCTGACGACGTCTCCGTCCGATGTCAATGCCCCCAAGCATCCGACCTCAATGTACCTCTACAGCTAAAACACTCGCCAGTGATACATCGAAATTCTTCCAAGGTTTGGTTGTGTGAGCAGCGCAGCACAGCACAGCCTGACCTCTTCTGTCCCTTTGTCACTGATGAAGATCATCGTCTCGCCGAACCTCTACCCACCCGTGTCACCAAGGTGAGGCATACACCTTTATCTCAGGTATTCGCTGTACATATCATTCGGGCGGCCTGCGCCTCCTGCTAGCATTCATCTACTCTTTCTGCCCAGTTTTCTCCCAGTTTTAACCGTTTTGGCGGGGTTAGCCTTATACGACTGCTCCCCCACCGCCGACCTCCTGCTCGGGCCGCAGCCCACCGTTGGCGGTTTGTCCTCTTCTTGTTCTCGCTCCTTCGGAGGATTCCATCACGAATCCCTCTCCCGCCTCCTCCCAACAACACCTCTGGCCGCCGCACTCAGTTTAGACTGACCTGTTGGATCCCCAACCTTTGCATGCTGTTTCAACAGCATAAGTCTGGACAATGGCGGACGTAGATGTTGCGCCGACCTTCGGCGCTGAGCTCAAGGTCCGTATTCCGCGCGCAGTTTCCCCCGCGGCTTGGCTTGGCCCCTCCAGACGCTGACATGTCCTTTAGGATGGCTTCAAGCCCGCCAACACTTGGGTTGCTCACGGCATATCCTGGCTCGACGAAATACAGCAATTCTACCGCGAAAGGAGTGCCATCGAAAAGGAATATGCTGCGAAGCTCAATGCCTTGGCCAAGAAGTACTTCGAAAAGAAAAACAAGAAGTCAGCGCCTCTCAGCGTCGGCGACACCCCCGCCATGACACCAGGTTCTCTCGAAAGCGCTTCCTTGACTACCTGGTCTACGCAGCTTACTACACTCGAATCCCGAGCCGACGAACACGATCGATACGGCAACAACCTCCTCTCTCAAGTGGCTGAACCCCTCAAGTTCCTCGGCACCCGTTTTGAAGAGCTGCGCAAGCGCCATGCCGACTATGCCGGCAAACTCGAACACGAAAGGGACTCTCAATACGCGGACCTGCGCAAGACAAAGGCCAAATACGATGCTGCTTGTCAGGAAGTGGAAAGCAAGCGCAAAAAGTCTGAATCGTCCTTTGACAAGGCCAAAGCGCAGAGCGCCTATCAACAGCAGATTCTAGACATGAATAACGTCAAGAACACATACTTGATCGCAATCAATGTCACTAACAAGCAAAAAGAGCGGTACTACCATGACTACGTTCCCGAGGTCATGGACAGTCTGCAGGACTTGGCTGAGTTCCGTACCATGAAGCTGAATGGTCTGTGGACGGTCGCATCCCAATTGGAAGCGGCTATGCTGGAGAGCAGTAAAGGATTGATGCAAAAGCTAGCAACCGAGATTTCCAGAAACCAGCCTCACCTCGACTCTATGATGTATATCCGTCACAACCTCGGCGCATTCCACGAGCCACCAGACAAGGTTTTTGAGCCTAGTCCCGTATGGCATGACGACGACTTGATGATTGTAGACGAATCCGCCAAGATCTATCTCCGTAACGTACTCAGTAAATCGAAAGCTCATCTCGGAGACCTGCGCAGAGAGGTTGACAAGAAAAGACGGGAGGTTGAGGGTATCAAACGTATAAAGCAAAGAATACGAGAGGGCACCGAGAAGAAGGATGAAGTTCTTGTGGTTACGCAAATTTTCGCCTTGCAGGAAGATCTCCACGCCGTCGACAGGCGGAGAGTGACCGCTGAAGTCGAGACGTCCACCATTACCTCGGCTGTGGGAGACGTGACACTTGGGGCGAAGAACCATAACTTCAAGGCGCAAACCTTCAAGATTCCAACAAATTGCGACCTTTGCGGTGAAAGAATATGGGGATTATCAGCCAAAGGCTTTGACTGCAGGGACTGTGGCTATACGTGTCACAACAAGTGCGAGATGAAGGTTCCAGCCGACTGCCCAGGCGAGCAGACGAAGGATGAACGAAAGAAGCTCAAGGCCGAACGCCAAGAGGCTGCCAACTCGCTGTTGAAACCGACCGCGTCCTCTCCAACCGTCGCAACAGATTCGCCGACCCTAACGAGATCGAATACGATGAACTCCTTGAGTTCAGGATACGCGCATAGCGCACGTCGGTCGATCACTGGGGGCCCGACATCCCCGATAGATGAGGTTCCTCCTGAGCCATCGACACCCCGCCCAGCTGCTCCTGCGTCGACCGTAAGCTCTACTACGGCCCGTAAGAGGGTCATGGCCCCGCCGCCAGCGGCCTATATCAGCGAACTACCTGGTAGCGCGCCGAATGGGTCGGGCTCTCCAGACCAGCAGAAGGGCAAGATGCTCTACACCTTTGAAGCTAGTGGCGATGGTGAAGTATCTGTAGTCGAAGGCCGGGAAGTCACAATGCTAGAACCTGATGGTATGTTTTCATCCTCGCCAGATTTACTCCCATTTGCTAACAAACTTTCAAAGATGGCACTGGCTGGGTCAAGGTGCGCGCAGGATACAAAGAAGGCATTGTGCCCGCCAGCTATGTCGACTGGGCACCACCATCGCCCATGGTCGCGCAGAACACCGGAGCGTCCGCCCGGCCCGAGTCGACGTACTCCAACTCTGGCTCCTCGATTGGGACAGCGGGACCGAAGAAGAAGGGGCCGGCAGTCGCTCCGAAGCGCGGAGCCAAGAAACTCAAGTACGTGGAGGCGTTGTACGAGTACACGGCGCAAAGCGACGCAGAGCACAGTATGACGGAGGGCGAGAGATTTGTCCTCATCAAGGACGATCCGGGCGACGGTTGGGCCGAAGTCGAAAAGGGCGGCGCAACGAAGAGCGTGCCTGCAAGCTACGTCCAGGCAGTCTAGGAGTCGTGTGCTCAGAGACGAAGAAGTTATAGGACCTTGAAGCCGCCTGCGGCGGCGGCGGCGGAGGACATTGTGCTGCGAGACATTCCACAGATACCGCAGAAGCACGTTACGCAACAAAAGGGGTTTGAGACGGAGAGAGGGGGTTATCGAGAGCCGCCTCGAGCAGCGGATCCTGCGGCAACGTTTTACCCGGAACGCGTGACCAGCGTCCGACTGGTGAAGCGAAATCAGAGCCAGAGAGAGCGGCGGAAATCGAAGCTGGACGATGTCGCTGCGTATCGGAGATCGAGAGAACGAAGTAGCATAGGTTAAGGTGCATGCATTCAGTGCTCCGTACTCTTTTTTCTACATATAAGTCGGCGGGAGTCGAGTTGGAGCATCAGGAGGGGGCTCAATTCCGGTGGTTTTTTTTGAAGTAGTTGAAAATAGCAAAGCATTCTTGTTTTTCGCCCCCATCATTGCGAATAGATCCATTCGCATGGTGTTTCACCGTGTACGTGTGCGAGGTTTGACAGTAATGAAAGTGTTCTGACCACCTTGATAGACAGAAACGTCAAATGTACCTGTCAGTGTCACCAAAAATCCAAAAATTCAGGGCGTCACTGGTGATTCTCATCCCCCCCTGCAAGCACTCGGTGGCATCGTCTCCCCTACCAGGAGTTGAGATCGTGGCCCATTCCGTTTGCGGTCAAAAGGCAAAAAGGGGAGCGAGCAGAAGGGGGGAAAGGGGATCGGGGAGATCCCAACCGGCCCTCCCGCTGCCAGTAACGCGGGCACCCGCCAGCCAGGGCATGGCCATTCCAGTTCGCTGCAAGAGCCCACGGGCCTTTTGCGGGGTGTGACCTGGAGGATGACGAGGCCCGACGAGTAAGTGTAAAGAAGGAAAAGGGAAATGGCCTGGGCTTGAGAGAACAGCGAAGAGACTGGAGTGTTCTTTACACAAGAATCCGCCAAGGGTCGCTTCTGTAGAGCGTAATCTCTTGAGAGATTTTTTTTACTTCTTCGGTGCCGCTTGGAAGTGTATGGATAGACTGCAGGAGCCAAGTCTGGCAACTTGGCATGGATTCGGAGTCTCCCAAAAAGCAAAAGCAAAGCAAACAGTTCGAGGCCAAGATCAGGCCAAAGGTGAAAAGGACTCCCATGAGTAGTCCATGTCCCCAAGAACGGGCCAAGCACTGGCCAAGCACCAATCAGATGACAGTCGAGGGCGGATAACCCCTGATAAACCCGCTGAAGGGTGTCACACAGAATGGGTGCTGCGTGCAGAAGATGGAGGGGTGAAGGGGGGTAATTTGGGATGAATCGAGGATGCAATTTCTTGTGCCCAAGGGCTGCATTTGTTTCCTGCGACTGCGAAATTTTGGCGGCTTGGACGCCGTATGCCTGCAAGCTGTAAGGCAAAGTCGGTCAGGGTTCACTGCCAAAGTTCCAAGCAGGGAAGACGGACGAGGCGACTGAATGGAGGCAGCTGACCAGACGCCGTTTCATTTGAAGAGATGGCTGGCCGCCTGTTCAACTTGGATAAGTGGCCTGCGTCATGCCAGGGGGAAGTGGGCAGACGGACCGAACAGAGAGAAACGGAGAGGGATTCAGTTTATTTGTATCCAGTTCTGGATTGATTGGCCGCGATATGTGTTCTTTTTCTGGTAACAACGATCAGGCAAAGACCCAGGCAAAAGATTTCAATCTAATCGGTAGCACGTCGAGGTTGGTCTGAAACTGGGCACCTTGAAATGGGCGGGACTGACGTAGTGGAACCCACGACGTTGGACTCGAAATATGATCATCGATCGGATAATTTCTCGTCTGCATCAGTGCATGGGCTCGTGGAGTGGTCGTAGCCTCGTAGGTCGCAGTCCGAACGGGGGATGGTGATAATTGTATCCTGATCCGTACAGATAGGCCAAAGGGATTGGACTCGAGCAGATTGGTGTACGCAGTACCGTTCTGCGTCTGGGCTTCAAAGTTCAATCTACTCGGCATCAAACGGCAGCAGAGTTGCGATAGACCTGAGAATGAGACCAGACCGGGCCGGGGTGGAGGTTGGGTCTCGGTGGGCGGTGGCAGTGTTGACGTGGACTTCGCGGCGCGGCATTCTTTAGATCGCCGGCGAAGCGAAGTGAGTCTTGCTATGGCCGTTTCTTAGCTGCATGGTCTTTCTCTTGGAGCTTTCTTGGGATCATTTCTCTCGCGTTGGAGGTCGGTCTTGGCCAATTGAAGGAGATGTTTGAGGATTTTCTCGGTGGCCGAAGTGGAGGAAACTGGATAGAAGGTCGACAACTAGTTGCAGACTGCAGTTGGTGTGCAGGTGTGGTGCCAGTGGATTGTGGTGGTGGTGGTGGTGGTGGTGGTGGTGGTGGTGACGAGAGGACGCGGAATCGGAAGACAGGGACTGGCAGGGGCGCTCCCTACCTCCATTGATCGCTGTGGCAGTGCATGGAATGTCGTTTTTGACTGGGGCAAAGAATGGGGATTGATCTCCACTTTCTGACTGGCGGCTGGGTCGTAATGTCTCTGTCGGCATGCAAAAAAAGGGGTGTAGGGTGGGTGAGACCGTGAGACGGACATGCTTGGGGCCATGAGCACATGGGATTGAGTGAGTACTGTAGCCAAGTACCACCTTGAGGATTGAATTTTGGTCGGTGGGTCTTTGTTATCGTGATTGTCGTCAGATGGATAGATGATGCCCTGCTTCGTGGAGTTGGAATTTCAAGTACATAGTAGCGGCAAGCCGGCAGCAGTGAAAGGCAATGGTGCTTCGATGGTGTGTGGGGAAATTCGTGTTCTTTTTTCGTCCGGAGGCGTGTTTATGGCTGTGGCGATTAAAGGCACAGATACTCAACAAGAGTTTTTTGGGATACGAGCCAAACCGGAAAGAAAAAACACATCAGGTACGAATTGCTGAGTGAGACTGGCACTGGGAGGCGGCGTGACGGCCAAGCGGCTCAGCGGCATTGCAAGGCATGCTGATAAGTAGTGCTACTACGGAGTAGTTCGTAGCGTCTCGGTGCCTCGAAAAAGGCTGGTTCCAAAGGCGATCGTCGTTTTTGTTGCGTTTCAGCGGGTTCGACCAGGCGACTTGAAGCAATGGGGGATGGAATAATAGGATTGTTTCCAAGGTGCGACGGATGGGGAATAAAGCAAAATGTGCTGCCTCTCTTTCTGGTACCCATACGGAGTAGAGCGTGAGAGAGCCAAACGGGCCACGGCAAGTCGCAAGGCGGTGGTTTGTCGACGACGTGGACAAAAAGCCTGTGCCCAGACGCGCCGGTGCAACGCGCCCAGAGACGGACGCTGGACGACCTGACAGAATTACATCACCAATAATCTTTCTGCCCGTGTTTACAATACACAACCTGATCAAATTGAGCAAGATGGGGTGTGGCTTTAAGAAGGGCCACCGGCTGAGTGCCAGCTCAACAGCCAATTGAGTTTTGCTCTTGCTTGCCGGGAACCCGATTCAGCTCCATCCCACCTTCCCGCTGTCTGCAGCCACACCCCTCTTTCCTCTTAGGTTCATATTAATGGAGAATTGTGACCCACGCCTTCCCTTCCCGTCCCCTGAATTGGACTCGCAAATGTCTTCCCAGGAGAAACGTCCAAGCAAGAGAGAACAGCTGCCATCCAGCCAGTGAAGGACGATGGTGCGGTTGTCTGACAGACACAACGAGACACTAGAATCAATTAGGCGAATGAACGGCTGCTGCTCCTATTCCCCCCCTTGATCCCTTCCCTCCCCTTCCTTTCCTCCCCGGGCGGCGTGGTCCACCGTCCACGACTCCTGTCGGTCCTTTCCTTGGCAAGCTGGCAAGGCAAGGGAAATCTGGACCAGGGCCGCAAAGTCTGGGAGGAGACTCGGAGACTGGGAAAGAGGGCGCGTAGTGGAGACCTTCACCTCCCACAGTCTGGGGGGTGTGTGGGTTGCAAAGAACGAATTCCACTATGCGGCTTGCCCTGCTCCTCCTTCTTGGTTACTCGCTCGTACGAATTACAGGTACGGAGTACCTAGTGTACGAATACACTAACAACCCAGGTAATGTGCGAAGTACTGCGTACCACTACCGTCAATCACGCCGTTTTTTAATCATCCACCTCCCTCCTTCCCGCCCGACCTCTCTCTTTCTCTCCTTCTCGTCATTCTCTCTCAAAATCCTCATCCGACCTCTCGTTGCCATTTTCCCCGGGTTCGAGTGCGCCTCCCTTTCCTCTTCAATAAACCCACACGTCAACTCCCTCGCTTTGGTTGACTTTATTTCCTCATCTACCTTTCACTAAACCGACCAACCCTTTTAATCAACAACCCTTTTGGACTCCGAAACTTCACCCCTTTCGCAGCTCACATTCAACTGTTCCTCACTCTTTCGGAACGTTCTACCGCTTGGCACTTTCTGATCATCAACTTGGGTTTTTGGGAATTCACTTTGGTTCCTTCGCACACATATTCACAATGAAGTCTGTCGCTGCCATCTCCGCCCTTGCGGCCCTGTCCGTCGTCTCGGCCAAGCCTACTGCTACTGAGCGCGAGGCCCCCATCAAGGCCCGTTCCTTGCCCGCAGTCTCCGCCTCCGGCAACGGTATGGATCACCAAATATCGCATCGTTCTGACCCAATTGACTGACATGGACATGAATAGCTTTCTACGCTGATGGCACCCGCTTCTACGTCCGTGGTATCGACTACCAGCCCGGTGGCTCTTCCGAGAACGTCGACCCCCTGGCCGATACCACCATCTGCGGTCGTGACATTCCCAAGTTCAAGGACCTCGGTGTGAACACCATCCGTGTCTACTCCGTCGACAACTCCAAGGACCACAAGGAGTGCATGCAGAAGCTCGCCGACGCTGGCATCTACCTCGTCGCCGATGTCAACAACCCCAAGTACTCCATCAACCGCGCCGACCCTCACCCTTCTTACAACGCCGTCTACCTCCAGAGCGTCTTCGCCACCGTCGAGGAGTTCGCCCAGTACGACAACACCCTCGCCTTCTTCTCCGGAAA